AATGCCAGGGTAGCAGTTCAAACCACTGACAGTAAAGGTATCCTCAGCTCCAATTAGCCATGATATACATCTACTCTGTATCGAGAGCGTTTCTCTTTATTATAATGAGTTCCTTGCATGGCTAAGTCTTTTACGGATGTATGGCTTTTGTGCTCATTATACCAAAAATCTCTCATGACCTAAAGCAGTAATCTCATCAAATATTCAAAGGAGTGAATGTGTGTGGCAGTGGAGCAATTTCTGTGCATTCTGGTTTGCATTCACTGTTTGCAAATTAATATTTTTCAGATTGAAGATTTGAATAAAACATAACTCGGCTGCAATTTTGATAAGCGATCATCCAGATTACTGACATTGGATAAGGATATCTTAAAGTTTGTAGCCAGGTCACTTTCAATGAACATGATTGGTTTCACTGTACATTACAAATAATGTGTTGCGTAAAGAGCATTTTATGTACAGTTGCAATAAACTAATACAGGGGGGTTTGGATACGTGGAGGGTTTAATACCTCGTGGGACTTTGACATGAGACAGCTTTTGGCATCCTGCTACCAACAGTCAACATCGTCTTCTTTTAAACATGAAAGCATTAATTCAACATTAACCTTAAGCTGTGTATGTGTCTAACCAAACCTTAGCCATAGCTGTGGCAGATGTTTACTTCCTGTCTCTTATTTCTCTTCTTAGTAGTGTGTGTGAGTAAACCCTCTATATGTGTGTCTGTGTAGATATTGGGTTTATGTCTAAATATGTTTCTTTCTCTTTATTGTTATGCCACTGTGTTGCATATGCTGGATGTTCATTTTGTATTTATGTATTGCCTCTCTTCTCTTTCCTTTTGTCTTTGAAACATAAAGCAAATTGAGTTTCTCTGTGATGAAAGTGTGCTCTATAAATACAGCTGCCTGGCCTTCTTGCCCCCTTTTCCCACCCTTTCTCCATTTTCTCTGTAGTGTCAACTCATGCGCCGTAGAACCTCTCCGTAATGAAACGAAGGTTTAAAGCAGAGAATTTAGATTGAAGATTTAAAAACGAAAATCTCTGAGTAATCGTTTAAGCCCTCAACTGCAGCACCGCCGCGTCGTACCAGCAGCATATTCTGGTACCCTAAACATGGGCCGCAGCGCGGCGATGCTTCAGAAAGCACCTCTTTATTATCGGTGACATCAGATTCAGTATCATACATTAAGAATGGAGTGAGTAGATTTTAACCTTCCGGATTTCCATGGGGGAACGGGGATGAATCCACTTACCCCCCTCTGAACTTCATCAAAACGGAGATAAGAGTTCTTTCAAGTGTTGAGCTGTGCTGGGTATTAAGTAACACAAGGTCAAATCCAGTGTTCATGTAAGATTATGGAAATGTCAGTCTTCTCCCTTCCTCCCAGAGAGCACGCTGGTTTAGTTGCGTGTGTTGATTGTAGGCGAAGCCCCTATTTCCGTCACACGACTGCTCGTTTTGTAGTCTTTCACTCACTCAGGTTATAATTTCTGTGTAATTGCGTCCATTAGCGTGAACGGCTCTTGTGGAGCTCGAGTGTGTAATGACATATTGTGAGCGCAGATAGCAGAGGACGAGCGTCGCGAGCTCTGCGAGCTCTGCAATCTCCCCTCTTCAAAAAAAAGGGCCGCACCGGCTCTCTGCATATGAGCCGTTTATCCAGTTAATTCATCAGTGTCGATGCACAAAAAAAAAATGTATCTGCAGACATGTGGTATCTTTATCCTTTTGGGGGGAGAGCGTGGGCCGAGGTGGATGAAATAGATGCCTCACACTCACGCAGCATTTTAATCACAGCAGTGGTCGAGGGTGTCGCATTTTTTGTATTCATTACGTCGTACTCATTTAATCTCTGTCCTCTCTGTGACGCTCCTAGAGTTGATCCCTTCTTATTTCCTTCAGAATTAAAACTGTCAGGAGTATCATCCTCCAAACAAACCTGCATCTTAACTATGGCATTCCTTCTTTTTGCTCTAATGTGGAACACATGTTTATTGTTTAGCATCAGGTATTGACTTGAAAAGGCTCAAAAGGCGGCTGTAAAAAAAGTCAGCAGTTTCCACCTTTTCTAAAGAACATCAACTTCTAGGTTTCCGCTAGCCATCAAAAAGGTCACGGAAAAGGTCACGGAAACATCTCAAACCTGCCCTGCAGCGCTATACACTTCCTGTCCACCTGTAAAGCTCACTATGTCATCATGATTCCATCAGAACGTGGCCTTTATTGGCCGCAATAGTGTTTCACATCAAAGCAATATTCTGGTATCTTTTCACAAAGCCGTTGTAATAGAATACCTTTTAAATAATTCTTTTGTGAGGGAAAATGGTCAGTTCGGCAAGTGAGCAGAGACGACTTTTAGAAGCCTTCATCTATGTGAAATAGTGAGCTTCATCAGACACATGTACTTCTTCTGGAGTACAGGTCTTCTTCAACCCTCCATCTAAACAAATACAAGTGTCTAAAACAATTTTAAAAAGCCATGTCATTCTCCGTCTCAGAATCTGACCTTTGAGCGTCTCAACCAATGCATTTAGCATTGCTGGCAAATCTGTTCATATCCTCTGTAACAGTATGTCCTCCCAGACTGCACTGATAGCGGCGGAAGTAACTTATCTGGATCTATCTCTCCCCGGATCCTCCCCCTATCTCTCCATCCTCTGTCCGAGAGACCTGCTGAATGACAAACCGTACTGTTCTCTGTGGATCAATGGCTCATAAGTATAAACCAATTTCCTTTACAAACGGCACTCTGGGAAATAAACAGACACGCTGCCTCGGGAGCCTGACACTGCATGAGCTGCGGAAGTCTCATTATTCATTTTAATGCTGTGGAACTTTGGATGATACGCCAAACTTCTTAGATTAGGTTAAAAATAAATAAAAAATCTTGCAAAAACTACAGAGTCGGAATTATGTTTCATGCTCGAGGCAGCGAGAGAAATAACAGATAAAAGCACTGCTTCTTACAGAGGATCTCACCAGAAATAAGCTGCGGTTACATGTTTATAATCATCTCATTAATTAAAGAATTATGTTCCATGCCAACTCTTTTCCAAAGTTTGATATTGATTTTCTTCCAGGAATCCATTTGTCTCCACTCATTTCTCTCTAGCGCGAGAATAAAGTGTCAGAGATTTTAGATGGGCACAGTTCTTTGTGATAAGGGAGCAGAAACGGTGTTGATGCCTTCAAGGATGCTCTGACATTTGATAGCTGTACATAAATCTTTTAATATAAAAAAAACCAATACATTTATGTCCTCCTCTTCACAGCGGTCTCCCTTGTTTAGCCATTTTCAGTTGGACGTTCTGACAATATAGCCGATCAGTGCAGCGCTCTCCGATCTGTCTACAAGCTGTTATGGAGTATTGAAGAGTCCTTGAATGCACCACCACGGAGAGCTTTGAAAACGGCCGCAATACAGCACCGAACAATGTCTGCGCGGAAGATGAATCTCATTCATAAAGTACCGGTAGCACAATATTGAATCAAAATGAAGCTCCCCACGAGACTGCTGTGGCAGAGATGTTTTGCTGCTCTTTGTCAGTTTGTTTAGCTGTTACGTTCAATTTAGCCCCTTCTGGATTCCTGCTGAATATATTAGAGTTATACAAAAGCAAAAATACTAAATACACACAATAGTCAAATGGCTGAAAGGGGCTGAAAATTCTGAGAACAAAACACTGTAAGAAAATCTATCAACGTGCGATGGAATAGAGAGATACACAATAGCAATGAGATTAACCCTCCACAACACTGAATAATACAATTAGAGCAGATTACACAGCAAAATTGGTAGTGTTAATTGGTGTTAATTTTCCAGTGACACATATTTTGAGTTGATCAGTGTTGATTTGGGTGTTCCTTTAGCACTTGCAGTGCTGAAATAGCTTTGGGGGCGGAGTTCTTGCCGCGAGTTAAGGTAAAGCTCTCCTGTGAGTTACTTACACATCCGGTTGTAAGGCGCACTTTCTTCTTGAACTCAAGGTGAAGAAAACTCGGTGTCCGGAATATACTATTTCAGAAGGTAAGAACAAATATATTTACTTAACCAGGCTGTTTATCTTCATATGAAATGATGTGTTAACGTCAAGTGTGGTGTGACGTGATGTATGTCATTGTAGCTGGTGGCTAATAGCTAACTAGCTAATACAAATTTAGGTTAAGATGTTAGCTAGCAAGCAGTTCACTTCGTCAATTAAGGGGCATTTTCTCTGGTAGAACGTCAAATGTATTGCTTCGCTAAGTGTGTTTCAATGTTATTCAGATGGCCAAAGTTAAATGGTTTTGCTATTCGGAAGTGAATTATTGTCAATGTAATATAGCTAATATAGCTAACGTTCAATGTTAGCTAACGTTAAAAATCAGTCAATATGTCTGGTGAACACTGGTGTCCAAACCGGCCGAGCATATTTAATTACAGGCCAAAATAATAAATAGCCTTTTGTATTTCAGTACATTTCTTTGAGAATATGTATGCCACATTATTTTGCAATCATAAATGTGACTATCCACCATGACAGGACAGAAACGGGAGTTTCGCGGCACTGCCGTCTCAGGACTTTACGTTACTAGTTTCGCGGCACTGCTTACCACCATACAGAACAGAACTTAGTTAAACCATCTCTTGCATTTCACTGGTGTTTCGTTCACCGCCTTTATCGCAGTACAGGGCATCTCAACAAAGCTTACGTGCGCGGGTGTGTGCCAAACTGCGACACTGACAATAGAGGAGCAGCGCCTGCCTAATTGATACTAAAACGGTAATTGTAGACTCTGCATCTCTCAGAGACTGTATAGGTTCAAACATTTACTTATAGCCTGTAACTTTAGCCACTTGTTTGACTTGAGATATGTTTCATAACTCCTTGCCTGGAGAAAGTTGAACAGCTAGCTTCTTCCACTGTGTGCAGTTTCTGCAAGATGTCATCATGCTGCTGAAGGTGAAATACCAGAGTACCTAGAAGTACATCCGATTACAGCTTGGTTTCACCTATATGGAATTCATCAATGAAGGTGAGTAACATCTTGTGTAAAATAAAAAGTTTTTAAATTGCCTTATCTGGATTCTCTTGGTTGCTTAGCTAAAAATCCAAGTGTTGCCACAACTGGAAAACAGTTTGTCTGCCATTACAGCTATAAACATTAGTAGACGGCTGATGATGCTTTTAGTTTTCAACTTGCTTATGAAAGTTAGTTTTGTTTTGTACACTACAATGTTGGTAATGGCTACAATGCAACATCATAATACTGCTGTTAAGTCGAAGCATGCAATTTCAGATACGTTTTATAGATAATATGGTTCATCAGTCAGTTATTATGTGCAGTTAAAACCTGTTTGTTATCTTTATCTGTTGTCATGCTCATCATCCTGTAGTCAAAAACAGGTTTGGGCTCCATGATGCAGCTGAACTTCACATTTTTGATGAAACTGACACAGAAGACATCCTTCTTGAACTGATAGAGTCCAATCCAGACTTATGCCTGACAGTGCGTGACAGCATTTCAGATGAAGGTAGGTTTCATTATTAAATCTGTTGTAATCAATGCTCAGTTTTTCTGCTGTGAAGCCTTTTATGTTGCTGACTGTCTGACTACAGTGACAAAGTAGATGAACAAAGAAACAATATTGCAGCAAAAGACAGATCTACATCCAATTGCCAAAACAGTTTGAAAATTTTGGTTTGGTTGTAATTGTCCCAAGCTTGTGATACCCAAGGTCACAGTTTACTATGTTTAAAAATGGTGACTTCCAGTAATTTTATCTCATATCACAAATAATCTCTAATAGTGGCTGTGCCACCCCGGAATGGCACATTTCTATCGGGTAACTGGATATATTTTATTAATAATGTTTTTCCTTTTAAAAAAAAAAAAGAAGATTTTTCTCCTTTAGATCATTCAACACCATCTTCTCTCACGGATACCATGTCACTTTCTTCAAGTGACAATGACCTCTCCAGTCAAAGACAAAGGGGTAGTTTGACAGGCAGAAATATATCCAGCTCTGGCGTCATGAACAGGTCTACCACAGAGGTTTCGGATTCAGAGGCTGCAAAGAGGTACTTGAGAGCAGTAGATGTTAGTTACAATTTATACTCGCAATATCATCAAGAAAATTGTTAAACTGAATTAAGATTCTCACCAATCGGAGTATAATGACATTTAGAATGGTGAAAGCCAGATTGAGAAAGTTAAGAAACTTAATTTCGTGTCAAGTAAAAAATTAACACAGGGTTTAGCTGTTGCGTAGCTTTGTATTGTGTAACTCTTCTTGCTCACGAAACCTGGAGGTGAGGATGTCCTCGAAGAGTACAAGTCCGAAAATTCACTGAAGCACCGCACCCGTAGACAGCTTGTCAACATATTGGCTAGCCATATGACGGAAATGCATGGGTAAGTGTTTCTTCAATAAATTGTAGAATTTTAAACCATTTCAGACTGAAAGGGTTTATATTAAGAAGGAATGTAATTCATTTTCAGAATGCATGGCAGGGAATTAACAAAGGTGGTTAACTATAGTTATTGGGGGAATTTCAATTTCATGTTTTTTTTTTTTTTTTATCGTCTTTGCTCTAAAGGAGGATTCCTTCCCGTAACCAGAAGGAGAAGTTTGTCCTGGGAATCATTACACTCTTTCCTTCGCTGAAGGATCCCTTTTCTCCAAAGGGCTATGTAAGTTTTTAAAAAGGATTACTTCCAGAATACACACCGGTTTTACAGACTAGAGTTTTGCACAAAAACTTTTTTTCTTCAAAACATCAAAAGACTGGATATACAACTGGATATACACACAAAATATTCTATATATTGATTTGATTGGCATTGTTATGAAGTCATTCATTCACAATCCCATAATTGCCTTTTTATATAAGATCAATGAGTGACCTTTGTAATTTCATATTTTTTAAATAACTTAACAGGAGCACTTCTATGATGGGGAAAAAGGCACAGGATATTTAGCATGGCGCCTCAAGACCATGACCAGGAATAAATACCAACAGCCAGTCAAGGCAGCCACAGAGCCTCAAGCACAGGGACCAAACGCCGAAGATCAGCAGCCACAGAGCCTCAGCAGCTTGATGGAGATGCCTGTAGGGAGGCTGTATCATTTCTTGTTCACTCTCCTGATGAAACGTGTTTCAGAAGATGAAGATGACCTTGCAACATCGCCAGGACCTAGTGCATGACCCGCTGAGAACCACGGATGTCTTAAAAACATTTCCACGTTTTTTAGATGTCAAAGGACTAGTGAGTTGTGCTTATCTTTTATTTAAACTCTAGTCCTTTAATTTGGGTGGATGTAAGTAGTTTACCGTGCACACACCATTCGCTTGATTTTCTTCTCTTTGTTTTTGCATCTATGTATGATCAACAGCTGAATCAAGACTTCCTGCTGCTGTTTGGTGCTGAAACAGCTTCCAAGATGCTTGAGAAGTGGGATACAGCATTCAAGCCCAAGGTTATCAAAGAGGCCAAACACCTGACTCAGTCAACTGAGCTGTGCCAACTTCTGACAGCTGCTGAAAACCTTTCAGAGAACGATCACACCAGTAAGCTACATGATATCCTTGGTTTATTTAATAAATGACTGATGCTATTAACTTTGTGTATTCCAAGTACATACTAATGACTTGTTTTGTCTCATTTACTCCTGGTAGACTGGGACAGTGACATGGCTTCTCTGCTGCTCCTTCTCCATCTCTTGCCACCCACAGCTGGACCGAAGAGGATCAAAGTAAGTCCCAGTGACGCAGTGGGCAAAATGTTACACTTTCACAAGGTATGTATCATCTGTTTAAATCCCACAAGCCAGTTTTTCAGTTATATTAACTCAATTAAAAAGAGATTTAAGTTTGCAAAAAAGAACTCTTCTGAATGTCTCAATATTGCAAACTTTACAATTCCTCAACAGCGAGGACTTTTTGGACACACAAGAGCAACTCAACTTTTCTTTTGTATAAACCGACCCAGGTATGCAGTGAGCAGTTGAAAACTTGTTAACTCATCCCTCTCCTATGCTACTTTAAAGTGATAATTCAGATTCTTACGCACACTTCACAGGGAGTGTGTTCCTTTTTAAAAATGAACTGGGACTTCATTTGGGAGGAACACACTCCCAGTGAAGCTCACATTTTAGCAACACGTGGGCAGGTGACTGGTCAAACTGGAGGATCTATTAAACTCTCATGGAACAAGTACCACTGCATGGCTCAGATCCTGAGCTTCCACTCTAAGGTGTTCATGTTATTCTGTTTTTCAGTCATGCTGCAGCATCGTTGAACACCTGCAGGGAAGAGAGGCTAAACAACCATACATCCTTGCTGTTGGCCGAACCAAAAACAGAATTGATGCCTTCTACATCGTTGTGGACAAACAGCTCATCCCCTGCCAAGCCACCAGCTTGTTGGGTGCTTTTGATGAACTGTTTAAATCCCACTACGTGTTCAACCTGTCTTATGATGAAACCCTGGTCCAGCTCTTCACTTTCATGCAGACAACAGTCTACAACATCGATATTACAACAACAGATGAGTCCATGAGTTCTGGGCAAAAGTCTTACACGTGGTTTAAAAAATGCTAAAGTGTTTCATTTGTCAAGCTGTACATGCGGCCTGCCAGGACTTGATAATTTAAGAATGGATCACATTTTCTATCCTAGCACCAGGTTTAAGTTGGTTTGTGCACAGGAACGTTGTAGGCGTCAGTTTTCAACTTATTCTCGTTTAAAAAAAACATTTAATTAGAGTTCATGAGAGGAATATTTGTCAAAGTGGTGATGCAGCAAACTCTTGAGTCATTTCAAGCAAATTTTCACAGTCAACAAGATACTACAGAAGCTGTTGTAACAAGTGCCACGCAGAGCCCAGAGGCTGGGTGTTCTGAGGACAATGCATCAGGTCTTTACAGAGAAAACACAAGAAATATTTGCGAGTCAATTATTTCTAAACTCCAAGGTAGCGGTGTGGTTTCAACAATTGTTAGTGATTTGGAAGAACTTGCTACTGGGCTGCACTCTCAATTTAAGCATGATGTACTGTCTGCTGTGCCTCAAGATCTACATTAGAAGAAGGTCTTGTGAATTTCGAAAACCCATTTGTTAACTTTAATACTGAAACAAAAAGAATGAAATATTTCAATGAGAAATGGGGGGTTGTGGAGCCAGTAGAAGTAATGTTAGGAGTTCAATTGGATACCAGGCGAAGTAAACAAACCGGTACTTATGACCAAGTCCCAGTGAAAGACACTTTTGTTTACATTCCAATTTTGGAAACAATCAAATTCATGTGCCGCAATTCTGGTATTTGTAAACTGCTTGGGGAGCCTTGTGTATCAAAAACTGATGGATATGAAGACTTCTGCGATGGAAATTACTTCAAGGCACATCCTTTGTTCTCTAAACAACAAACGTCTTTACAAATTCAGATGTACTATGATGACTTTGAAACGGCTAACCCGCTGGGTTCAAAACGTGGCGTTCACAAAATAGGGGCTCTCTATTTTGTCCTCAGAAATCTGCCGCCAAAGTTTAACTCTGCTTTGATGAACATTCATTTGGTTGCACTGTTTCATACTGAAGATTTGAAAAAATATATGCTTTGATCCTATTCTGCAACCTCTGATTAATGACATCAAAACACTGGAGAGTCACGACCTTGATTTGCCTTTCTCCACTGAAAAAGTCCATGGCACTATATGTCAGATAACTGGGGACAATTTAGGGATGCATGGAATTCTGGGTTTTACAGAGTCTTTTAGTGGACATTATTTCTGTCGTTTGTGTCTGATTGAAAAAGCTGATGCACAGAATGTTTGCAATGAGGATGACCCTAAGATAATCTTGCGTGGAAAAGAGCTTTTTGAAATGAGTTGCAATCAGACCCACAGAAGTTATCCGTGTTTGGTTTAAAGAGAAATTCAACTCTTAACGGCCTTCAGTTTTTTCATGTTTACCACAATTTTTCTTTGGACATAATGCATGACATTCTTGAAGGGGTGGCTCAGTATGAGATGAAGTTATTGTTGGAGTATCTCTCAGAAAATGTTTTGTCGACTTGACATGTTCTCAAGGATTTGTGCTTTTGACTATGGGTACTTGGAGCGCAAAAATCACCCTACAAGGATTAACTTGGACAGTAGTGGCAATAACATAGGACTCAATTCCACTCAGACTCTTTGTCTGGTAAGGAACATTCCTTTGCTTTTTGGTGACATTGTGCCTGAAGGAAACCAAAACTGGACTTTGCTGCTGCTTTTACTGCAGATAATGATATTTTCTCCATCTGTTACACTAGGCATGACTGTACATTTAAAGCATTTAATAATGGAACACCATGAATTGTTCAAACTGTTGTATCCACATAGAAACCTGTTCCCTAAACATCACTTTATGATACATTACCCGGCTTGTATGAGGAAAAATAGGACCCCTGATGCATATGTGGAGCATGAGATTTGAAGCAAAACACAAGGTTTTTAAAAACACTCTGAAAAACTTCAAGAACATCACTAAATCTCTTGCAAAAAAACATCAAATGTCCATAGGATATCATTGGGAAACATCACCTTTGAACCACATTGAGTATGGACCTTTGAAATCCTATAATGTGCTGTCCCGAAAGACATCTTCTCTACCAACTGGGTTAAAATCAGTGGGACAGAGTACAGGGCAGGACTAATCATTTGCAGTGAGACTGATCATGATATGCCAGGGTTTTGTAGAATAAAGATACTTTTAGTCAACAGTGTTATCTACTTTGAAGTGAACAAGGTTGTGGTTGAGCATTTCCATGCCTACCAAGTATATGAAACTGATGAGAAAGATGTAATACAAGCAGACAGTCTTATTTATAAGCCCTTTGATTTACAAAGTGCTTATGGTGAAGATGAGAGCCTATATATTGTACCATCATTTTCTTTGTAAATGTGCATGCACACGTGCACAAAATTGTTGGTACCCTTCCGTTAAAGAAAGAAAAACCCACAATGGTCACTGAAATAACTTGAAACTGACAA